GAGCTCGTCAGGCAGTCGGACTAAAAAATATATAAAAATAGGCCCGCGCCAAGCCAAACACATGTCTGTCGCAATCACAGAGTGTCATTTCTGGCGATGGGATGCCCAGCCGACCAGGACCCCCTACATTTGACAATTTTTTTTTTAAATGGAGATAAAATCTGAATAAGTCTCAATGAATGCCATTCCGGACTAGAGGTGCCATAATCATAATTTGCTTTGCGACTCCCAGTATAAAATAGACTATTGGTCCATAATTAGTCATTTGCGACTCCCGTGAGGGAAGGGGTGTCTAAGCTTAGGATTGGGAGCAGATCTCCCGTAGGGAAAGTCAATAATTTCTGGATCCCCTCATGTCATGATAGTGATAAATTAAGTAAATCACCCTTTATGTTTATGAAATAAAAATGCTAATGTTGTGTGTGCTTCCTATCTCCTAATAGTCCTGTTTGATCTTAAGTTAGACGGTAGTATTTCCACGCACATATAGTCGCAATACTACTCGCACAAAACTGAAATTCAAAAAGAGGAGAAAAGGAAAAACCTCTTGATTGATTTTAAAAGTATGTACATGCAAAGATAGAATTGAAGTGATTCTTTTAAGTTTATCCAGGAAGGAACATGGTTTATCATTTGTTTTTCATGGTTCGAATAGGCCTACGTCACAAGCTAATCAGTAGACAATAAATCACTATTTTTATGAATGTAGTTTGCACGAAATGTGTAAGCGGGAATGATTATGATTACCAGGAAAAATTTAAAAAAAAATTATGATGAGTATTTCAGTGACAGATTCAAGGGGGACCAGCCGGCCCACCCTCCCTATTTTTTTTTCAAAATTTTAAAAAGTGGAGAAAAAAAGAAAATTATATTTAAAATTTAAGTCTGAAAGTCCCATTTCCGGCCAGTTAGAGGTACCAGGCCATAATCATAAATTTTCTTATCTCAGCCCCAACTATGGTGGGGCTGAGGTGGTCTACACTCCATCTGTAAAATTCCCTCCCTGGGCCCCCTCTTGGAATTCCTGAAACCGTCACTGTATTTTGAAAATATATTGTGGAATTAAATGTTAATTAATTGCATTCCTTATAGATTAATTAAATATGACTCATAAAAGGCTATAGACGCCAGAGCTTCCGGGTGCCCCTCCCCTGGATCCCACCGGGGCCCTGGGCGGCCCCTCTGTACCCCCGCCAAGTCTTGGGCCTACTGCCCAAGATATTCTTTTTTTGGAATTCGTTCCTCCCCCCACCCCACCACCTTTTCACAACGGATCGACGCCCTTGCCCGTCAACTCGTATAAATTTAAAAAAAACCATATAGTCATTATTATTCATATTGTACCTTATATAATGTGTTTGTGTTTCTTGTAATTCTTAATGGAGGTATAAACAACTCAATTCATCTAGTTATGGCAGTGATAAGAGACTAAATTTTGAACAAGTTATCATTTAGCAATAGACCTACTTTGATTTAAGGGCCACGCGAATTGTGAATTGATCATTATTTGGATCTGAGATATGCTACTACCTTCTGTGTGTACATGCTTTCATGGGTCCACTCTTTAGCATTATGCACAAGGCATTTTTGTGAGTACTATAGGCCAAATGGTTTGAGTTATACCGGAAAAATAGGATACGCTGAAAGTCAAATTCTTAAAAAAAAATTCTCCTTGTGTGAGGGTCTCTCATGAACATTACACACACACACCCGCTCCAGGCGACCAAGTCAGCTATGGGGATCTCTTCGGTCTGCTGTGAAGGTATGCTCTGATTGAAGTTTTGAGGCCTGTAAGGGCACTATATTTCCATATATATGTTTTTGTTTTTGTTTTTGGTTTTTTTTTAGTTTAAAGTTTAAGTACCTATATAAAAGTAATACAAAATATAATTGTAGACATTGTTCAATGGTCAATCCGATAAATAAAAAATACCATTCAATAAATATCGAATGTGCTTTTACATTTAGTCATATAAGAAGAGAAATGCTTATTATTATTATGGTCAGTCCAGCTCTCTGAGAACATCTAAAAATTAAAGACTAAAAAAATCGAAAGTTTTATTATCAAAATATAGTATATAAAATCGGGACCCCTAGCTACTAAACTAACCCCACAGTCTAGTTACGCCACTGCTTTTATCATATACAGTAGGCCTATTATTATTTAAATACCCATACCGTACTCGCGCAAATAAGCGCCCCCATTGAATAAGCGCCCCTCGAATGTGAAAATTTCCTTAAGTGCCCCGTTTGAATAAGCGCCCCATCAATAATATCATAAGCTTTTCTTTTTAGGAAGTCAATAATCCAATCAATCCTGAGACTGTGGTTGTTGGCATGATTTGAGCTTCAGAGTGGAATCACACTTTTTTTTAGGTCAATATCAAAATGAGGATATTTCTCTTGGACAGATGAGAGTCCGATCCCTGGACATATAACTTTTCTCTTACATTGTCTAGGCCTAGTCCTACTCCTCTTTTACTTTTTCCGACAATTTGCACCTTAAGCAAATTCTCATCTGAGTTTTCAACCTGCACCTGCCACCATTCTTCGGCCGATGGCAACAAGCAAGCTAACCACTCCACAACCACTAACTGCATTTGCTATTCTGCCGTTATGTAAATATTCACAGCATTGTCATGAGCTACGGTATGTTCTCTGGACGATTAGCTTTTCCGCCGCACCACCATTCGTAATGCCCTTTAGGCCTATACAGTATAATCTCTTTTTTTATTCTGTCAAAAAGTGCCTCTTTTTAATGTTCTCCTCGATTTTCATCTATTTCCATAAGCTTGAATTTTCCACACTGTTTTCTACGGGTTTTTTTTTGTTTTTTTTTTTGTTTTTTTTTGTTTTTTTTTGCATTTTTGACATTTTGATTTTAGGCCTATTTACTAATTATGCAATTTTTATTATTTTATTAATAATTTCATACTACTGTTTATTTCTGATTATTTATTACTGATTAATATCTTTTAATTGATCGAACAAGTCCGTTGTAGGCCTAAATGTTTTACTGTATTTATATAGGCTTATTGTATTTATACTTATATATTTTAATGTAAATTTGTTACAACTCGAGTTTAAATAAAGTTTGAATGAATGAATAAGCGCCCCGTTTAAATAATCGCCCTGTTTGAATAAGCGCCCCTCAATAAGTATAAAAAAATATTTTAAGCGCCCGGGCATTTCGCGCGAGTAGGCCTACAGTTGTTCTTCGTGGGTGACAAGCAAAATAGAGTAAAAGGGTACAGCGAAGACAAGTGACGTAATGGTAATATGCGTGCCCCTGATTGGTTGATTAGAAACTACCGCAATCTTCTGTGCAGAAAAAAAAAATCGCTTACAACGCAGACTTGATAAATAGCGCCCTCTTGCTATTCATAATTCTGTTTGTTTTTATTATAATCTATACTTCTTTAAACCAGTTATTTAGTTGTTCACTTTAAAATTCAACAAAAAATATATTCATTAAAGGTATATTTTTTTAAATGATATATTAATAAGTTATATTATCTAAATAGATATATGTTTATATTATGGAACTATTTATTTATACAACAATTAAATACCATTACCGTTGTAGAGGGCGCTTGTACTTTGTTTTTCTGTTTTTATCGTTTTCTTTGTCGTATGTGTCCCGATTTGGTGCTCAGAATAAGGTACGCCCTGAATTTTGCTTTAAAATACTACTTTAGATGTTAATTATTCATATTGTAATAGCACAGCATATCATATGAAGTTGTATCAAGGCTCTTGATTACACGGTCATTTGAATAAAAATATGCTGTCTTTTTTTATCAAAAGTAAATTATTTGCAACAATGTTGATGTGGTGGGCACGTCCTGAGTCTCAGTGCTAAGCACCTACGACGAGACGACAAGTTCTTTTGTTGGACTGTCCATTCATCTTTTGCTCTAACGATAATGTTTGTGTTTTGTAATAATTAATGCAAACTCGGGCAGTATAAGCATAAATGAAAATAGGATTTGTTTTTATGAAATTATAGGCTTAGAAACACTTAAGAGAATGTAATTTATATTGATTATAGATGATACAGTAGTACTGTACAGTCAACTGCCGATGAATAAAATGTAGCCAGAGATTGGAGGGAGCAATGGTGCACTTACAATCAAAACGCTTGTGACAGGTTACTACTATGGTCAACTGGTCCTAACGTGACAGATCAAAATATAAACGATTTTGTTGTGGTAGGCAATACTCAAATGAGCATATTGATTTTATTAGCCATAACAATATAGACTGTAGATAATTTACTTCATGTTCTTGCAAATTATTGGATAAAACCCAGAAATTTAGCAATTTTAAAGTATTTTAGGGATGTAAATAAAGGCGAATTGAAAGGGCGAAAAACAATAGGCCATGTTTACTTTACTTTCTGTGTTTGTATCACTCCCCCTATCTAATGCTAGGAAATGGTCCTTTACATTTATATATATATTTTAGTGCTTATATAAACACAAAAAAAGTCCAAACATTTCATTGAGGTTACACTGAATATACCAATGAGCAATTGAGAGAGCAGCTTAGCTCAAGCTTAGTCGGCTAATCTGGTGGTAGCCGCTGTGTGTGCGCTAAACCGTGGAGATGTCTTGGTCCCCGGTTCAATTCCCATCGCTGCCTCTCCTTGTGTTTCAGCTAGAGAGCTGAAATACAAGTTACAATAGCGCACAGTCTTTCGGATGAGATGTTTAAGCCATTGGTCCCATGTGCATTATGGCCCATGTGCACGTTAAAGAACGCAGTTAGTGGCGTCGAGAGCCAGTAAGGGCCCCGGGGTAACACCTCACATGGGCCCCCCCCCCTTTCACTTGGGACCCCTACTCGGCCGCTCCCCAAATTAAGTCTCCTCCTAAGGTCCAAACCCACATACATTTCATGAATATGATTCCATGTGATTATTTTTTTGCAATGTAGATGTATCAGAATAATCTGATGAATAAACGATAATAATTATATATATAATACGCGTAAATACATACCACTTTGCATGCAGGGAGAGGTACATATAAAATCAATAATAAAGATTAAGATCAGTATCATATTTTATTTCACTTACATTAAGAGGAATTTACAAGAAATAAAACCATAAATGTAGAGTTTGTTCTGACAACAAAAGTTTTCATCCTGGCTTGGGCTCGGGCCCTATGGAGATTTTGTTCTTACCCCAAAAATTTTTCATCTTGGTCCGGGGGCCCCCCAGTAGACCTCGGCCCTGGGGCAGCGACCCCCTGACCCCCTCTCGACGTCACTGAACGCAGTACACTCTTCGGAAAAGAGTAGGGGATTGTCTCCCGGTGTACTGCCCAATCACTACCAGAAGGACCCCACTGGAAATAAGTCTTCTTCTAGACTTCCGTGGGCTATCCTTGGTGTTTACACCGAATAAATCCAATCCAATATTTAATGGTATTTCACTGTATTTTTACTTTTATTTTTCAGCATCTTATGTTTTATAATATATTATTGTTTTAGTTGTTATCTTCACCATCGAAAAAATTGTCAGCTACAAAATTTGATAGTGGAACAGTAACTTAGAATTAATACCTTATTGAGACCAGAATGTATACAAATTAGAATTAAAAATATAGTTAACAAGGTTAGTGGTTGTGTTCAAACTCATGATTAAAAACAACTCCACTTCCTAAACCTCATAAAGAGACTTCGTTGATAAAAGCATTAAATTATTTCATTTATTTATTAGGGCCCCTGAATATCAGCCGACTTTCTAGAGTACACTATAAAAAAAAAAAATACAATCCTATCCAAAGGAAGCTCATGAATCTTAACTGGACCTAATCAGGGGAGCTAATCAGCAGGGGCAGGTCCAGAGTATTAATATCTGGGGCTGTGCATCTGCAAATCACCAACCGGGGTGGTTGGGAGGTGGGGGTGTTGATGTTTTACATTGAAATGCTTGAAAATAGAAGCTAATATATAAAATTGTAATGGAAAATTTGCTTGTTTTGTAGGCGATAACTAAATTCCTATATTCCTGTATAAAAAAAATGAACATTTTTAGCATTTTAACCCATTCGGAGGAACTACAGTACAGTAGTTTGCCATGCATGGTGCGTCCAGCTCGCCACCCCCCCACTCAAAAGCGTACTCCCGTGGAGTCAAAGCACCATTCCACACAGGTTCAACATAAGTGGTCAGTGCATGTTGTCACTAATTAAGCATGGCCTATAATTTACTGTTTTCTTAACCTTCTGTTTTTGATATTTAATTACTGTACGGTTGTGTTTTTATTAATTTTTCTACATTTTATGGCACTAATACTTTAATGGAAATTCACTCATTATTTTGAATAAAAAGTATAGCCGCGTTAGTCTGTACAGTATAGAAAGTATAAAGTAAAAAACAGCAGCACTTTTGAGACTAACAATATATGATTTTATAATTTATAATTTTTAAATTATATATTGTTAGTCTCAAAATTGCTGCTGTTTTTTACTCATTATTTTGTTATTCATACTAAAGAAGCTATTTAAGTTTAATGCAGAAATTTATCATGATATTTTAACGTTCAGTCAGGCCAACATTTATTAATTGTGGTTTCGGTTAACACATGTTTTATTTCAGTCTTGTCTTGCACCCCTCTGCTTTTTGTCTTTGGTTTTGGAGGTGAAGTGTGTTGCGGGGGGTGGGGGGCTCGATCATCAGTTGAGGGGTGCTTCTGTAACTCGCAACATTTTAGGTGATTTGGGGGGGGGGTTGCTACTGGTGGTGCAAGTAATTTTTAGAGGGGCGTGCGCACCCCTTGATACGCTACTGTTGCATAGCCATATTATCAGTTTCCAATGAAACAGCAATTAAAGCTCTGTCAGGATGTTCCTATACTGTATATGGTCATGATGTGATGAAAAAAATTTTAGGTGAATCATATTTTCTGCCTTGAATTTAAGTGTTTGTTATTAATATAGTTTTGTAACAGCATTATTAATTATATGTCATTTAATATACTGTACCTTTTTCTGTTAAAGAAGATAGCTGTAGGAAACCCCCAATTCCACACCACAACCTTGCTGCTCTGATGACACAGAGCCAAACCAAACT